GATTAGATAGGGGATTTAAACACAGATGTATAACAAGAGGGCAATGAACAGAGATTATCCTGGGACGGATAGTCGAGCATCCCGTCGTGCGGGATCTCGTTTTCCTTTTATTCATACAAGTTTATTTTTCGAAATTTCTACTATCCACTATCATCTGTAGGTAGGTATGATATGTACAGTAGGTTGGTACATGGCTCTTCGACTTCAGCTCTGCTTCTTGACCAGGCATCCCATTGCCTGGTACGGCGGTGTCAGGGGTATAGAGGAACGCCCGATCCACAAAGAGCGGGGGTCAGAACATATGCCGCAGAAATTGCGGTGCTGTTCGTAGCTTCACTGAACTATATTCTGCTGAAAATCTCCCAGGCACACCACGCACCTCCTCCTCCCCCTCCTCCCCTACACGCCCTCCAACCGGAGCATGAGGGAAACCGGTTGGCGATGCCCTGGAATTTAACAAGAAGCTATTTCCTTTGTTGCGCATGCTCGTTTGGAGAATTCATCCTTTTGCCAGCCAATAACCCTATTCGTCTTCCACTAGTCCTCCCCATGCCCCAATTGAACACAGCTCCACATTCCGACTTACCTGCACTCAGGAAAAACCGCCACGCCTAACAATAGGGCTCCCGTGCAGTACTCGCACTATAGTGATAGTGATGGCATGATCCCAATAGCCGGATATAGGGGAAGCTGTGTAAGTACTGATGAGATGTATGGAGGAGCCTGGATGTATGTGTTAGGGCTATGAGTCCCTAGCTAGTCGGTGCGACTATATTGCATGTTGTTAGGGGAACCAGCCCTGTTAGTGCTGACTTCCTCTCTTTTTCTGTATTTAGTCTTCTTTCGGAGCTTCTGATTTACGACAAGAACGACTCCTCTCTCCTCACCTTCGGTCTTCATCCACACTGTGACCCCGTTGTCTTTCCTCCACTGCACCGAGTCCTCGCCAGTATTCGTAGAAGGCCGATCCGGCCAGACTGGGCATGGCATGGTTGGCACCTCCATTTTTTCGGGAGCGGGCCTAGCAGGCAGGGTCATTGGGCTGCGGTCAGGATTCTAGGGGTTCATCAGGTCCCGCCTTCCCGATTGAAGATTCATCATGGCTTTCGAGTGATCAAGCATATTATTCTAGTTTTCAGGCCATATGATACAATAATACGGATCGAAGGGAATACGGGTGTACTCGTTAATGGATTCTGTCACTACATGCCCATGCCAGTGTAATACCCAATCCACCATTTTTCTTTAGCCATGGGGGGTTAAAGGACAGCTCGATGCAGAACTTGGTTATATTCTCGCCTGAACTGTTACATCCAACCCAGTAATCAGTATCAAGAAAAGGAGAAGTAGTTTGCAACATAGAATCTTCGGGAGAAGAAGCCGCAAAGAAAAGCGTTAGGTATCTGATGTTCTAAATGATACTGAAGCGGTAAGAGACAATAGCCCATTTGTTGAATGATTGTTAACACACGAGAAATTTACCCAAAATTCACTAGGAATACACCTAGTGATAAGAAATTGCCCAGCATCCGCACTTCCCCCACTGCTTCGAACGTATCAGAATGGTTTTGACTTCTCCCCGCATGCCCCAGCCCCGGGCCATCTACATGCATCTTCAGATATCGCATGATATTTGCGGATTTTTGCGAGCATCTGCCAACAGCCCGCAAAATATCTGTTATACCAATGACATAACATATGCAGAAAGCCTGCTGGCGCTGCTGGGTGCCCATCCCACCAGGCGATGGACTCCGTTCGGGGCATTAAGTAGATTCCTGCTCACACTCAAATTCCAGACCAACACTAACCGAACTAACTGTGAATTGATATGACCGCCGACGAGAAAGAAGCTCGATATTCTTACCACCTGCGCAGCTGTGGGCTTTCATGCTAACTGAACTATCAAGTGAAAGAAAAGAAATATCAAAAACCTCGAGGCCCGCAATATGAGGACCTCGGAGGAAAGAATCTGACAAAACCTCGGTGAGGAGGAAAAACATGAGAACCTCGGAATACCATAGTTGATTATAGCATGGTTGTGCGGTTGTGAAACAAACGGAGAATAGATGAAGAAAAACTCAAACACTAACTGACGTTGAAGAGAGAGGAAAGTACTAGGAGAAACTAACTAAAGGGAACCTAGTCTGTTTGACGGATAAGCACTAAATGTTGAAACATGGCTTCTGACACTACCAGTAATGGATATTGTGGCATCGTTCAGACTATTACTTTTCTTCTTGCATCAATTTCATATCCCAGGCACACATCTAGGCCTCTGGTACTATTGAAGATACCTCCTTACATTTCTTGTTACTGTTAGCTCAACCTTATTGTCTTGCTCACAATAGTAGATAGTAAGAGCTGCTTGCTCTTCCTTTCTAGATAATTAAGCATTCATTGTTCTCTATCACACAATCTTCTTTGCTGTGCAAAAACACTCCTCACAATACTTTCACAATAGGTTATAAGCCTTTTGTAGCCTTCCGTCCCCCAAAACCAACAAGTTCAAGCCTAGTTTCTTCCTCTCATTGTCAGGATAGTCCTGTGTATTCGTTATTGCCACTTTTTTAGCCAGTCCTCCTTTACTCAACTCCTGTTTCCTATGTCTCTCAAAGTTGTCACTGGGGGTTGTGGATGATTCAGTCTACCATTGTAAGTATGGTGAGGTAACCAGGTGGAGTCAATTAACCTTCCCGGCCCACGGTGGTCTCAAGACCTTCAGTATCTTTTACAAGGGGCTGGATCTCTTGAAACAGTACTTGACCACAAGGCTTCTCCACCAGCTAACCAGTATACTTGTCTTCTCGATTTCAATTAATATGAATGCCTTGCTGTTATGTTTATTTACAACTTGTATAGCCCTGAGGTGAAAGACTTTCTTCTTCATATTTCTTGCTCCCTGGCTGCAATATAAACTGCTCTCGCAGCTGAGTTTGATACTGCATCAGCGAAAATAAATCCTGCATCAGATGCGTAGGTAGTATATCCTGACACAAGGAGGAAAGATTCTGTGTCCGGTGCGTCCTGTGTATCTGGTACTTTGACACCAAGTCTAGTTGCATCCTGTGAATCCTAGTGCTTATGCTAGGAGGTGCCACATCCAAAGTGCATCCTAAGTAAGCGAGGCCGCCCAGTTACCATCCTGAGATTCTAAGTAATAAACTCAGCTGCCAGCTGCTCCCCCTTTACCACCCCCCTACCAGCCCTCCTCCCTACCAGCCCACCCCTACCAGCTCCCCCCCTTACCAGTGTCCTGCATACCACCTCCCCTGCATTCCAGACTTTGTTGTTTTCTTTACTGGTACTGGCTGGGCCAGGTCACAAGGTTCTGCTTTAGTGCTAGCTTTGATGCGAGATTCCTCGGGCACCCTTTGGACACAGCATCCCATACTCAGTATCCTAGTTCTATGTGTTGCTAGCTTTCCAACAATGTATTCAATGTCTACCCGGCACCAATATTGGGGGAGTTAGAACCTGTTATGGATGTCATATTTACTTTAGCAGAGTGCAGAGTTTGATACCAGATTTCCTGGCCATTCTATAGGTGCATCAGCTGATACTTGGTGCCCTGATCCTATCCAATACCAGCTTTCCAACAGTGTATTTAAAATCTACCTGGAACTAATATTGGTGGAGTTACAGACTGTTATAGAAGTGGTATTACCCTGGCAGACCTTGGGCAGAGTGCTGAGTTTAACACCAGATTCCATGGCCATCCTATGGGTACTGCAGCTGACACCTGGTGCCTGCATTCTACCCGATACCAGCTTTCCAATAGTGTATTCAACGTCTACCCAGTACCAATGTTGGTAGAGTTACCATCTGTTATAGAAGTGGTCTTACCCTTAGCAGACCACTGGAGGAGTTCTGACTTTGATGCCAGATTCCGCGGCCATCCTGTGGCTGCAGTAGCCAATACTCTGTGCTCTGATTCTACCCGAGGCCAGCTTTCTAATGGTGTATCCAACGTCTACCCAGCACCAATATTGGTGGAGTTACAGCCTGTTATAGAAGTGGTCTGACCTGAATAACCTCTGGCAGAGTGCTGTCTTTGATGCCAGATACCACACCCATCCCTTAAGTGCTGTAGCTGTTACTCGGCATCCTGGTTCAACTTGACGCTGGCTTTCTAATGGTGTATTAAATGTTTATCCAGCCCCAATACCCATGCTGTTATTATCTGGGATGTAGGGAGTATGTTGTGCTCACACAAGCAGGGGCTTGGAGCTTTTCTTTCTCTACACTGTATTATAGAACCAATATGAAGACAAATGATCCTTATTTTGACACTTTCACAATATACATAATATGTGACTTGGGTTACAAGGTCCAGTCCTAGTATTGTATCCTGAAAATTTAGTAGTACTCGCTTGCATTCTGAAAAGAGCTGCTGCATCTGGTTGCATCCAGAGAATTCCGAGAGTTCTCGGTTGCGTCCCAACTACTGGCGGCAAGAACCGTTGTATCCAACACCAACCGCGAGTGATAAAGCATGACTTCCTGGACCCAAGAACTCACCGACCCGCGAAGGAATGCCGGACGAAGAATCGAGCAAGTGGCGGCGAAGGAAAGCATTTGCCCTCACCCACCCTCTCTACCCCCCCCCCCCCCCCCAACCTGCCCATTCAGAATTCTCGTGTATCACAACTCCCGGTGGAGTATCTTGACACTGACCTTCTACAGTACATCGTGTTTGACTATATCTGGAGGTGTACCCGTCAACGGTGGGTAAATAGTGGCTTTCGCTGAGGCCATGGGTTGGGGAGAGGGTGGGTTTGCGTTTTCCACTCCAGACGGCAGAGTTTTGGGATACAGTCATTGTGTTTTGCTCGTGCTATATCTAGGTGGAGTCGGCGATGTCCTGTTCCCAATATCGTAGTGGACACCGTGGCTAGTGCCAGCGGAGTGGTAGTAGATCAGCAGGACGCCGAAGCCAGGGAATTACAAACATTCCCACGACCTCTCACCCAAACAGTAAGATATGGTAGTCAAGCGTTGTTGAATCACACAAACCTAGAACTGTAAAACTTAGTATTTTTACAAGATTGATAGCAAGACTAAACCCTCAAAAAAAAAGCACTGCAAAAGCCATAAATGACACAATGTAAATCAACACCCCAGCACAGCATGCGTGGTTCGACAATTTTGCGCAAAAAATAAAATAAAATAAAAATTTAATAAATGCACAATCTCTATCTCATACCCACCATCAATCGATCATTCAATCAATCAATTAAAAAAATCAAGCTGGGAATATAATATCAGTGCAAAGACTAAAGTAAAAAAAAAAAAGCGGACGATTCGAAACTACACATACCATGCACCAAACAACGTTCACCGTCCCCGACAACAAGCTTCTCCCTAAAGAATCGATTTATTTATCTAACCCTAAGCAGACAACGCCAACAAAGGAGAGAGGGAAATATCTGAAGCGAAAACTAAAACCAAGAACAAGGGAACGAGGAAACAAGGAAAGGAAGAAAAAGTACAAGAACCAACGGAAGAAAAGCCGCTTTTGACCACACCGATGAACATTGACAATTTAATAAAAGAAAAGAAGAAAAAATACTAATACTAATCAAATGCAACCAGAGGCAAATGCTAATGATGGTATTGGTGATGCTAGTGAAAAGGTTTGTGTTTTGTCTTGTTTTGTTGTTTTCGCCCAATCCTCCTACATTACCACGTTGTTGGGATCAGTGCCGTTACTATCGTCACCTTCTACCGTTTCGATAAGAGTTCCGGTTCCCATGAAGGTTCTCTTGGCCATCTCTTCTAGAGCACCCAGTTCCCCGCTCGACTCACACATCTCGCGGAAGATGCTGTCTTTCCTTTGCAGGAGGTTGTAGGGGTGGTCGAATTCTTTGACTCTTCCTTGATCCAGGACGAGGACCTTGTCGTAGAATATGATCGAATTGAGGCGATGAGCGATAGTGATGGTTGTGGACTTTAGTTCACGGATTGTTGCTTGGATTTTGGTATCAGTTGAGTAGTCTATTGAGGCCGTAGCTTCGTCCATCAGCAGCACTACTGGATTCTTAAGGAGCGCTCTCGCGAGGCAGAGCAGTTGCCTAAAATGACACGGTCAGCGGCTTGATAAGTGTAAAGTTTGGAGGGAATGTCCTACTTTTGGCCTTGGGAAAGATTGTTACCAGATTCAGCAACAGGGCTCTGCAAATCAAGAAATACATTCTTATTAAGGGTAGAATCATCTCCGGCGACCGGGGCAGCTGCTTCCGGCTCCTCATTGATCAATTGCACACGTTTCAAAGCTCCGAATATCTCCTTATCGGTATAGATATCGAAAGGATCCAGGTTACTCCTGATTGTCCCAGTGAAGAGAGTAGGATCCTGAGGCACCATGGTGATGGACTGTCTGAGATCCCGCAGTCCAATCGTAGATATATCGATGCCATCAATCACGATCCTGCCTGTTTCCGCCTCCAAACTCCTGAATAATGCAAGTGCTAATGAACTCTTTCCAGCACCAGTCCTTCCCACAATACCTACCTTTTCAAGCGGCTTGATACTGAAAGTGACATTCTTCAGGACCAAATCCAAACCAGGGCGATAGCGGGTTGAATAGTTTTCAAAAGCTACACCACCCTTCTCGGGCCAAGTGCTTGTTGGCCTATTGTCAGGGATGATATCAGCAGCTTCTTGGTCAACCTCAAGATATTCGCGGACGCGCTCGACTCTAAAAAAGTAGTGGTCAGCATCGCTAAATAAAGCGGCCCTTAAAATACGTACGAGTTCATATTTTGCTCATTCACCGCATAAAGTCGCACAAGCCACAGTATGTTATCGGTAAAGGTGACAGCGTACGTTAATGAAAGCCCAGCTAACCCTGCGTCAATTTTGCCAACGCTGAGAACCACAAAAGCTCCGGCAGAAAACGAGACCAATGCCCCGGCAACATCAACCCTAAAGCTAAGCCAGCGATTGCAAGCCCAGAGGTAGAAGAAAGGGCGATGGTGATTGTCTATTTTTGAAAGGTTATCCCTAACAAATCGTCTCTCATCACCATAAGCTCGGATGGTAGAAATTCCACTTAAAGTTTCACCAAAGTGTTGATAGAGAGGGCTTCTCTGGATCGACTCCAATCGTTTCAAATCTCTTGAAGCTCTCAGGTAAAACGAACCAATCAACCAGTAGAGCAAAGCGATTACTACTGCGGGACCAAGGAAGCCAGGTGTGATGAACGAGATTAGGATAGTAATGCCGATCACCGATGCCAAAGAATGAATCATGCCTAAAGCAACAGGTGCAACTTCTTGGTCAATTGCTTCCATATCTTTAGAGAACCTATTGATAACCCGCCCAAGTGGTGTCGAATCAAAGAATCGAAACTTGGCCCTCATTACGCTAAACAATAGTTGGTTGTGAATATTCTTTGAGGCAACCAAGCTACCATAAAAAACAGCAGCCTCCCGGAAGAACGAAACCAACGTGTATGCGAAACCTATAAGCGCGTAGATCCCCAAATAATAGACCAGGTCGATGTCACCGGTATTGTCGGCAATAGTGACAGACTCCGGCGAGGAGTTGTAGGAGAGTGGCCAAATGCAAGACCCAGAAGATAAACAACTTCCAAAATATCCGATAGAAGAAACAGGTGCGTTGCGGGCGCTAACGATCAACCCAGAAGATCCGATAGACTCATATCTGAGAGCCCATTGTCGAATCCAGACCGCTGTCCCGATAGAGCCAATTTGTTGGGCCAAAAAGATAATTACGACAATGATCCAGAACCACCACGGGCCCATGGACCTAAGGTACAAATAATAAACTCTCCAATCAACACTACCAAGAGCCTTTGTCTCTTCCCCTGAAGCCTTGCCCTTCCCCTTGGCAGCAGGCTCGCCGCCATCATCAGCGCTTGGCTTTGCGAGGCTGGACATTTGGGTTCCTCCATTCATTGGCGCTTCGCCAATAAAAGAGGGTACGCGAGAAGGCATTTGTGATTGGGGTTTGGATCTAATCCCTGACTTGAGAAGTTCGTCATTTCCAAGGGCTCCAGACGCAACAACGGTATCCGGGCTGCCTTGCATTATTACTCGGCCATTATCGAGCACAACTACATGCTTAGCCTCAGGGACACAGAGGGCAACATTATGGGTAACCAGGACACAAGTTCTGCCTGCCATTAGAGGACCCATGATACAATAGTCATAGATCCATTTCGACGTGTGGGAGTCAACAGCCTAAAACTAGCTTAGCAAATATCCGAAGGGTCAGGAGTCTTATGCGCGTACGCTTAGACAGTCGTCAAGTAGGATATGACGGGAGCTCGAGTATAATGCTCTAGCAAGCGATATCCTCTGCTTTTGGCCTCCTGACAGCGTTATCCCCTTCTCGCCAACCTCGGTCTCATCGCCATGGTCCAAGATTTGCAGATCGTGCTCCAAAGAACACGCTATTAGTACGGCATGATACCTCTCCTCGTCATATGGGCTAGCAAACAAAATATTGTTCTTGATTGAGTCGTTGACCAACCACCTACCGAATTATCAGAAAATCAATAACGACCAACTCATACCAATGTCGAAACTCACGCTTGCTGCGCGCAGTACGCTACGGATTCGGTCAATCCCGCAACCGGGTCCGGGATCAAATCTTCTCTACTGTGAGCTCCCGGGAGATATACACTAGCCAGGTAAGCAATTTATATTTCCAAGTCCCCAGCTTGGAAAGCACCTACCTTCCCTTGATATGTGTCATTTCACCAAGCAATGCCATCAGCAAGGACGTTTTCCCAGATCCTGTTGGCCCAGCGATAACGTTCAGATATCCTGGAGAAAATTCAATATCCAAATCCTGCAATTGGAAAGCCGATCCCATTCCCTTATTTTTGATCTGTTTTTTATTGCCCCATGAAAAAGTAGCATCCTTGAACCCAATCAAAGGAGCGTTCGGATCCACCTCGTCCGGCTGCTTCAATTGATGGTACTTCTCCGTCTCCTCCTCCGACAAGTATTCCTCCACACGGTCGATGGAGACCTTAGTCTGCAGAACGTTGGTGATCATATCTGCAAGCTGGTCAAGCGGGACCCGAAGGACATTGAACAAGGACAAGGCCGTGAACGCAACCGGGGAGTCGAGTGTTTTCCCCTCGATAACCGTGTAACAGAAGAAACTGAGGAAAGTGATAACAATCGGAGACCCGTACCAGGAAGTAGCAGCCACAGCCCACAATATGTATCTATTCCTTAGCTGCACAAGCTCGGTGGACCTAGATTTATCCACAACATGAGCAAACCGCGCTTCCCATGCGAAAAATTTGATAATCCTAATATTCTGAAGGACTTCGTTCGTGGCATGAATTCGCCCATCGGTAGCCGCCATGATCTTCTTCTGAATTTTACTAAATCGACTAGACATGAAATAGTTAATAGGAAGGAGGAAAAGCATAACAACTATTCCCGCAATTGAACTCCAACCGAGAATCTGGTATAGAAGAACTACAGCTATTACCACTTGTACCGGAACACCCGCAACCTAATTTGATTAGTATACACTTCGGTCTCACGAACCTGAAGCCACATACCAGGAAGTGTAGGTAGGCGCAAACTTCTGCCACTTTGAATGAATCAACAGACATCAGATTAATGATCGCACCAGCGTTTGCCTGCTCTCCATTGTCTTCCGTCACTACCGTCTTGCCTTCACTGTCTTTCTTTCTGTCGTCCTTGCCTTTCGGTCCTAATGCACGGTCTGCCCCGGCCGCTGCCCTCCTTCTGAGAGTTTTTGCATAAATCTCACCAACAATCACAGAATGCAGACGGATACATATCCTCCTACCGATGTAGAGAGCTTGGCCGCTACCAATTGCCTGGAGGATGGCTGTAACGAAGAGCAATACCACAAACAACCACGCAACATTCTTTGGGGTATCCTCCGGCGATTTGACATACTGCAAGATGATTCGCAGCAGCAACGTAGGCGCAAAAGTAAACATCGAATAGAAAACCGCCCAAGCAGCCTGTACCGCAAGTTCGCGCTTGAAATGTTTCGCCAACGTCCAAGCCAGTGTATGCGCCTTTCTACCAAAACAATCAGCATTCAAACCCGTACCACTTCGCGAGTGATGCCACATACTTGGTTTGGCGATAGGTTGACAAAACTACAACAGCGATATCATCATTCCGGAGATTCCAGACGTTGGACAGCTCAAATGGTTTCCAATAGCCCTCCCAAATCAGAGGGTCCACCCAACTAAAACTTGCCAGGGAGAAGAGGGAGGCCAGCGGCTCCCTGGAAGGTTCAAGCCCATCCATAATGTCCTGAGTAACCGCCTTATTCCCGGCACGGCTAGTCACAGCTATGATACACAGAACAGAGACCAAGACGAAGCGAGTTATGATTAATGCCTGCGAAATGGTAGATTCCGGGTGAATCAAGGCAGAGCGGAAAGGCACAGCTGCCAGGAGGAAGTTAAACATATAGAGAAACGACGTGTGGTACCATAGGGGAGGCAAGTCATAGGATAAGGATCCCGAGAAAACGAGTCGGAGAGTGGCGAGGACGAAGATGTAAGTCTATTTCCATTAGCATCGGCATTTCCGCAGCACTTGGAAAGTATCTAGACCAACCCAAGTAACCAAACTCGCTATAAAAAGCAATCCTTCGACATGCACGACAGCTTCCATGTTCATTGCGGTATCGGCGACGGATATGCCCAGCAGCCCCAAAATTGCCAATTCCTCGCAAATAACGAGCGCAATCTCCCCATGAGGTCTATCGATCCTGAATTCATGCCCAGTAGCTCTGCTAATCGTATGCCTCAAACTCAAGTGCTCAGCAAACTCGTCATCATCTTCATCCGTATCTTCACCGCGGTCTCCATTATCCGTAGACACTCCAAAGGCGTTGTCATAAATCGGGAGCGGGCGGTACTTGTTCGAGCGCCAGAATTCAACTTTCTTAGACACTACGGAGGACAAGAGCCAGAGGAGAGAAATCCCGACCAATATTAAGGGCAATAGGAATTGGATGAAACTGTTTGCCCATGCGCAAAAATCAGCGGAAGAGAGCTAGTCAGCCATTCACGAAAACAAACATTCCATTGCAAAGCAGAATAAAATTCCACTCACTCTCTCCCAACACAGGGGGTGAAATCGTCACCTCTCCAATAAGGTGGCTCGCATTGCAGGAAAGGCATTCCGAGGTGGATTGTTGGAGGATTGGTTGTGCTTGCTCGGATGCGGATTAATTGGAGTGAAATAAGCTGCCGTCGACGCGAGGCTTATGAAGGAGGGAAGAGGATGAGTTTCCTGACTCGCTACCGAATTGAGAACCGGTGGTAACAACAGGATGCAGTTAATTGGGAGGACGACGAGGCAGGGCCCTTTGTCGTATGATAAAGCGGTGAAGAAGGGAGGGAATCCAAAGTTTTGTCGTCGTCCCAGCGAGGCGAAGGGAAAAGAAAAAAGAAAAAAGAAAAGAACAAAGACAGGAAGAGAGGCTGCGGAAAAAATGATTTCGTATCACTTTCTGATACGGTATATTCCACCTCTAGCTGTTTTTGTACTATTTTTATTGTTATCGCTATTAGCCCCCAAGAAGCTGCAGGGAGAGTAGTCAGACAACGGGAGCCAGTCGCTAGTACTGTACTCGAAGCAGACTGCCGGTACCGTATCAGGGGAGTGAGGCTAAGAGGAAAGATTGAGGGTCCTCTCTAAGGTCGAGCCATGAAGACGACGAAGGGCGAATGAGGCGGAAGAAAGGGCTCCAAGGGGTTTGAAACGGGGGAGACGTGAAAAAAGGAAAAGGGCAGTCAGCTGCGAGTTTCGGTACTGTACTGCACAAATGATGTTACTAGTATCGGTAGGGATGTGATTCTACGCTGGTGCGGTGTTCTAGAGTTACGTTACGACAGGATCAGTTATGATCCAAATACTGTACCATAAAGTCAACTTCAGACTGGAAACTCCAGCCCTTGACTGTATCCCTCTGTCTTCACACTCATATTATACTCCTCGAAGACCGCAGCATGACACTGCCAGTGGTAACTGTGCGCGTACGAGTGCTCGAGTATAACACTGGCAGAGCCGCTCCCCACATCCTTCCCCACCACTCGTACCGTACCCGGGTGGGTGGATGGATGAGAGTGGCTATCTTATGGTAAGTAAGTACTAACCCAAAAACTCTTGCTGTTAGGGGGTAGTTAACTTTAAAGTCTAACAAGTTGGACTAGGTCTAAAAGGTCTTCTTCTCCAGAGTAAGTCAAAAAGGCTCATGTAAGATTGAATGTACTAAGGTAGAACAAATATACTGATGTGATCTCTTCTTTATTTGCTAATGATATCTGAAAGCTAGGAATTTTCTTTTTTATCTCATATATTCATTGTTAAGGTACAAGAATGTGTGTGGAGTACTAGCTATGGCAAAAACAAAACCTTAATTTCAGATGCACTCCTCTGCATCCCAGAGACCAAAACAACCCCCCTAAGACCCTCTGGTATGGGCCTAACTGCAAATCCTGCCCCACACAGCAACAATTGTCCTCTACAGAGAAGGCAGAAGAGAGAAGAAAACCCTTCAATATTATCCTGACAAAGGAAAGAATAGAATAGGAAAACCCCCAAGTGCCTCTACAGGCATCTGTGAATGTATAGTCTGTCTGCCAGTGTCAGGCCCATGGTAGGACCCTGGCAAAGTGCTGGGACAGGGCCAGCCAGCTCAACCCAGGAGGTAGTGCAATACCAAGTCAGGCCAGGCCATCATTCAGCCAGGAGCAGGCCACAAGCCTGAGTGTAAAGGGAGGAAGAGAGGCGAGAGATGCCAGTAACCTGTGAGAGAGGAGGGCAGCTGATACTGTCAAGGAGGAAGGTAGTAGACCCCAGCTGTGAGGAGTCTGGTTGCAGAGAAGGTTGGATGATGCCCATAGTAATATCAGAGCCAGGAAGGAGTTGTAGTGCTGCCGCAACAGTGGCAGGAGTAAGAGAAGCACCAGGTGATACTAGCATGGAGAGAGGGTAGAAGGGGTAGGCTGAAGCACTACCACCTTAGTGATGATAGAGACCAAGAGTCCAGGGAGTAGGGCACCAGCCGATCCTAGAGGAGAGGAGAGGAAGAGGACAAGGCAACAAAGATCCAGTCAAACAATACAGTAAGAGGCTGCAACTGGGGTCACAGAAGTAGGTAAGGCCACTTCTGATAGCCCAGAGGACCACCATCCCAACTGACCGTCCAACCATCACCCAGCCACCAAAGCCAACCAGACTGATATGAAGCGAGGTCTAGCAGAAGCGAGGTAGAGAGGAGAGAGGCATTATGATAAGGCCCTTAGGGTGAGGAGAGGAGCTCCATCCAGCAGAGGTGAGATACCAGATGAAGGAAGGAGTAGAAAGGAAGCCCTGATGGGCAGAAGGATGAAAAGCATCAGCCTGTATCCCCTGGCAGGAGGGTGCATAGCTAAAGAAAAGTGGTGATAGTTCCTCAGTATTGAGCCATTCCTGATTAGGAAATATTTTTCAATGACCAGAGGTGTAGCAGAAACAAAGGATAATCTGAAAGCTAGGGAGGTATCTTAATATCTATATTCTATATCTAAAAGGTTGTGGGCTATATCTAATCCTTTACTATTTATATATCTGCTATAATAACAATTCAGTATTTTAGAAGTGTAATTTTCCAGGATCCTGAAAACTGACTACCCTACTCTTATCCTAAATGAAGTAATTAGCTCTATCAAAGTCCTTACACTTACTAGATATAAGTCTTTATTATTGTACAATCTAGAATATAGTTAATGTATAGGAGTCTAAGGCAAAGAGGGGAGAGTATTACATAATCTAAGAATAATAGTAGAAAATTTATTAAATACAACTTGTACTTTATATATGACCCCTTTTGTATTTAGAATATTAGAATATTACTTGTAGAGGTATCATTTAAGCTCAATTTAGACATACTCAATTGAATTAAAATAAGGTAAGAGAGGAGAATAATTTGTCCGATCTATATTATTTTCCTTCAACCATACTAAGATGTCTTTTGCTGTATAAACTCAGCCATTATCCTATTGAAAACAATGGATCTTCTAACTTTAGGTAATCAGCGATTTTCTCTATTACTAGTTTTAAGAAAAACTCTACTAGTAGTACTCTAATATAGACATATCTATCTACTTAGACTTCCCTAATTGAAATCCATAGACTTCTTCTTGTCTCCTAAAAGTATACCTATACTATGAGTCCTAACTTATTTGTCTTTGCTTTTAACTAGATACAATTGACCCTCCACTTTGTCCAAGAAGTTCAAAATGCTCAAATGTCCCTCAGATCTGACCATTTTCACACAGTATACTCATTACTATAAAGCATTCTCCAGAAATTATCAATTGTTTAATTCTTCCTCTTTAAAGCCTATGCCAGTCTAGTCTTAGTATGCTGAATCTTTAATTTAGACTATTTTGAGCTAGTTAATTGTATATATTTGCTTAAGCAGAACTCAATCAATTCTGCTAATAGAAATATGTAGTATGTACTAATTACATAAGTGTAAACTGATTATGCCATAATCCTTCTGGGTGGGATATTGTTACAAACTATGACTAAGTAAGGTTGATTTCACATAGTTTGAAATTACGAACTATAGGTATGTTGGGATTTCACAAAGATGCACACTAGTATACCATAGGTTATTATGTTTACCTATTCATCACTCACAATTGTGAGTTACATGATATTATGATTTTCACACATAACTCAAGTTATAAGTCATCGGTTTCACTCAGGTAATACGAGCTGCGCACTTGACTTAGTTATTATGTTTTGATTAGTTTTAGGTATGTTGCGCAGCGACTCATAGGAGTCAGCTGATGGATTTCACATGACTCATAGTTGTGAGTCACAGAGTTTGTGTGACATAAGGTATGAGTTATGCGAGGTGAAGAGCGAATATATAAAGGGTTACTAGGACCCCAAGTATAAGCTCTTCACACATTCTTCTCATTTATTTCCTACCTTTATATTTTACAAATAAAATCTATCTTTATGCTCTTTAAGATTTATCTTAAGAAACCCAAGAATTGTCTTTCCTCCCATGATAATGAAGAGTAAGTCCTAAGCGAGGACTTAAGTGGACTAAGAGAATAGGCGCGATAAGATAGAAGTCCAAGGACTTGACTATCTACATCATATAGGCAACAGCCTGCGAACTATTACCTTACCCAAGTAAGAATCATTACCTGTCGCTTCTCTGCCTCTGGTAGAATTCCTGACAGACATATTAGATTGTATTTTTCTTAGCAAGTAAGGAGTAAGGATCATTTATGTCAAGGTATATTCTCTATTAATCCTTATTCACATATTCTAATAAGAAAATTCTAAATAGCAGTCACAACCTTGCCTGTTGCTAATTTGGCCTTTCTGTAACGGACAGGGTCTAAGGGTCGGGTAGCCCAAGGCACACCACCATCAGGACAGGCAGGACTCTGGAGACGAGGTCCAGGTGCGGGGGTACAACTGAAGCGAGTTGTACGAGGTTCGGATTTCAGGGGTTCAGGGTCAGGGTTCAGAGGTTCAAGGGGATGCCAGAAAGGAGAGGGTGTAATTCTTAGGTACAAGTGTCCAAAGGAGATTACTAGATTGTGTAAAGAAAGTAAAATATAAAGGGGCACACCCCTTTATATAATAAGGAAATCCTCCATGATCACTAATATAAAAGAAAGTTCTTGGCGTCGCGCGCAGCCGCGATTCCTCCATCAGGTTCCGTCATCTTCTGTTGTGTGGTAACGTGTCCCAATCAACTTGATAAAGGAAATCCCAATATGGAACCAAAAATCCATGCACATTCCGTCTCCATGTCCGGGTGGCCGTGACACTAGCCGCCCTCTCCAATGCCGAAGTCTCTTGAGGCGAATTACTCAGGTAAGGGTCCAGGTTTATACGGGTAGCGCTCATGGAACCGGTCCAGAGCTTGGAGTCCGTTGACGGAGTCGGCAGGTTCCCAGGTGGCCTCCGCATACCCCCTCCAACGGATTAAATACCGTAAACGGTTTCAAACAAACTTGGCATCCAGGATCTCTTCCACCTGCCATTCCGGTTTGCCATCGACCTCCACGGGTGGTGGCGGCTGTATCTCCTGGCCTGGAAGAGGGTCATGTAAGGCGAGATCAAGGAGAGAAACATGAAACACATTGTGGATCTTCATGGTGGGAGGGAGATCCAAACGATAGGCATGGGTTCCGACCTGGGTAAGGACGGGATAAGGACTGAAACGTTTGTTGTCTAGCTTCACGGAGGGCCGTTTGGTTCTGATATTCTTTGCATTCAACCAGACACGGTCTCTGACTCGGAAGTGAGGGGCTGGGAGCCTCCCTTTGTCGGCGTATTCCTGTTGCCTGTCTTGGGTAAACGTGATCTCGGTTCTTAGGTGATCGTGGATATCTTTGATACGGTCCACGAAGGCTCCTGCCGTAGGCTCATCGGAGGCCTCCCTGGGGGCGTCTAGGAAATCCATACGGGGGTCATAACCATGGTTAGCAAAGAAGGGGGATAGGCCGGTGGACTCCGACGCATGGTTGTTGGCCACAAATTCTGCTATCGGGAGCCAAAGGGACCAGTCGTCTTGTTGGTAGTTGACGAAAGCCCTAAGGTATTGCTCCATGATGGCATTGACACGTTCCGTTTGACCATCCGTTTGGGGATGGAACGTGGATAGTTTCCGTTCCACCTGGAGCTTTTCGCACATGGTTCTCCAGAATTCTGCAGTGAACTGGGTGCCCCTGTCAGATGTGATAGTTTGGAGAAGACCATGGTGTTTCCAAACGTGACGCAAGTATAGGTCAGCGAGGGTAGGGGTGTCGATGGTAGTGCGACAGGCAACAAAGTGGCGCATTTTGGACATTCGGTCGACCACCACCAGGATGGCATCGTTCCTCTGGCTCCACGGTAGACTGGTGACAAAATCCATGGAGATATGTTCCCACGGGCGGTTAGGTATTGATAGAAGACGGAGGATGCTAAAGGGGGCGCGTCGGGAGGTGCAACTGCATTAGCAAACATGGCAGTTGGCTATGAAGTGGCCAATATCTTTCCTCATGCCAGGCCAGACATAACGTCGTGACATCAGTTCGTGGGTCTTAGCACGCCCGGGGTGACCTGCTGTAGGCCAGTCATTAGAATCTTGTATGAGCCGTAGGCGTAACTCCTCATGTCGAGGAACGTAGATCTGGTCACAATAGAGTAATCTATCTCCGTCACGCTTGCACTCGTTCAGAGATAAGAGGCGGGAGTATCGGT